TAAGATGGAAGGGGGTGAGGCAGGGCTGTGTATACCCAGGCAAATCTGCCTTGGAGTAGAAGGATGGTGGGTGCAAGTGATGCAGGGTCTAGCCAGAGGGATGCCACCCCCAGGCCCCCAGACCCGCAGTCTCCAAACCAGTCCGACTGTAAGCCCTGACCTAAAGGGACACCACTCCCTTTAGAGCCTGCCTCCTGCCGGGGAGTCCCCTCCAGCACATGGCCCTGGCCAGCAGCCAGACTCCACCACAGAGTTCAGTGGGTAGGAAGGGAGGACCAGACCTCCCATCAGATTTACATACTTTCAGACACCCCCTTCAGGAGCCCTGCAATGAGAAGGGAGGGAGGGAGGAAGGGCAGTCCTGGCCACACTTCCTGGGACCTAGGAGGCCAGTGGGCATCTTCATGTCTAAGAGGAGCTCTGTGAAAGCTCTGGGGCCTGTGGGGCCGGATCCTTAGTGTTTTTAAATTTTATTATGACTTCATTTGTTTAAATATATATATATATATTTATAGCTCTATGTGCCCACCGCCCCCGGCCCCCTCCCCAGCCCCTAGTTTTTCCCCCTGGCTTTCTGTCTAGTGGCCGTGTAGGGCAGCACCGTCTGCGTGCTCTTGTCTGACACTGTCTGGGTGCTGCTGTTCCTCGTGACCCTTCGAGTCTGTTCGGGGGCCAAGGCAGAGCCTGAGCGGCGGCTGGTCAGTGGAGAGCGCCATGACTTGTAGGGGGCTGGGGAGGGCTTGTGGGGGCCTGCATGGGCCTCTGTATGGACAGGCTCGGGGGGCAAGCCCACCTCCTCCTCCTCGGCCTCCTGCTCACCGTCCCCCTCCTCATCGTCACAGCACAGAGCATGGTAGAGCACTTTGTCACTGAACCGCACCCTCTCCCGCGTCCCTGGGGTCCGCTGGGGCAGCTGGCTCTTCACCGTGGGGCCAGCGCCGAAGGCCTCCTCGCTGGAGGAGTCTGGGGTCTCCACTCGTGGCCCATTGGGGATGGGCGTGCCACCATTCATGAGGCGGTAGTCAGGGCCAGCCCCTGGCCGAGTTGACTCAGGACCGTCCACGGAGTCCGAGGGGGTAGAGACGTCCAGGAAGGAACAGAACTCCCAGCTGTCTGAGAGGATATCGGCTGTCATGAAGTCCAGGTGGCCCAGGTCAAAGGGGCCGCCCACGCCCGCCTTGTCACTGCTAGAGGTGCTGCTCACAGTGGCCGTGGTCCAGTCGTCTGGCTCCAGTTCAAAGTCGAAGTCTGAGGTTAGCTTATCGATCTGGCTCACCACCTGACCAGGGAAGGGGAGAGGAGATGAGAGGGGCCGGGGGGACCTTGCATCAGCCAGGTATGAGTGTGTTTCCGCCCCATCCCTGTAGACCCCCTGGCTGGCGAGTGTACCAGACAGGGGAGAGTCTGTAGGACAGTGACTGGTCTGGAGGTCATAGGTTTGTTTGCCCTGTGGAGGGCCCAAGTCAGACCAGGCTGGACAGAGCTGGTTCCAGCCCTTCCCAGAGGTCTGTTTAGCACTGTTCAGTTCCTGGGGGAGAGGAAACTGCTTTCCAGCCCTGTACACCGTCCATTCACTCACCTCTGTCTCTCAAACACAGCACCTGCTCTGGGGGCAGCCCTAGTGATCAGGGACTAATCCTCCTTAGTTTGAGAGGGGGCCATTTCAGAGGGGCTGAGGCCCTCCAGCAAACCCATTCCACAAAGAGTTAAGCAGCCCACACACCCTCAGAGAAGAAATACTGTGGGTGATCACAAGGAAGACCCCGCGTGGGCTTTCTAAAGCATCCTGGACCAGTCCTTGCAGCTGGCCCGTGACTGTCACCCCTGGGTCTCCACCATCCCTCGGGGCAAGAACACCAGGTGAACAGCAGTGGCTGGCTGGGTCCTCCCACCTCCACCCCCATCTCCCAGAACCTCCTCACTCCTTCCCCTTCTCTGCCCACAGACAAGTGGAGATCAATCCTGGCTTGTCAGGAGAAGGAATAAAGCAAGCATTATTTGATAAGCAATAAAGAAGCCATCTATTCTGGGCCCAGAGCTGCTTGTTCAATGCACTCAGGGGGCAGCTCAGCTGCGGAGGTCGCTGCACCCCGCCCTGCCTCGAATAAAGCGAAACCCTCAGCTTCTATACAGGCAGCCCTGTCTCGGGAGACTCTCTCGCCTGGGTGGCCACTGTCAGCACATACATCAGGGAGGAAGACCGTGGGGGAAAGAGGGATATCCAGTCAGAGACACAGAGACGGGACAGAGCAAGAGAAGGGAGACAGAAGATTCTAACCAAAAACAAAACAGAAAAACAATGAAAGCAAAGCAGGGAACCCAAGAGTCACAGTGACAGAGACCAGGAGATCCATAGTGAGTCATCCAGACCAGAGTCTGGCCCGCAGCGCTGCTCCAGCACTCTTCACCTGGGGTCAGGACAGGCAATTCATTCATTCATTCATTAAGTCCTTAATTCAACAAACATTTGCTGAGGACTGCTGCTGTCCAGGGATGTGCTAGGTATTTTGGCAAGGAATTGGGGTAGTGAGCGCCCCAAAATGAGAGGAAAGCAAGGACAGAAGTGATGGCCAGAGTGGCTTGGGCCGGTGGGAAGACTACTTGGTCAGGCATCAGGGGCTGGACGAGGGAGACCTGATCAACCATTTTTCCTCTCTCAGTCTCAGCTGGTCTGTCTGTAAGCGGAGACAGTGGGTGAACTAGTTTATTTCCAAGGTTCCTTCCACGTCTGAGATTCTAGACTCTGTTTACAGGAATGACTCTGAGAAGCTGCTTGGGTGCTGATGCCCAGGGATGGCCCCTCAAGCATGGCCCAGGCCAGGAGTGGGGAAACCGCTTGGCTGAGGCCTCCAGAAGAGCTAGAGGAATCAGGACATCTGGATTCCAGACTTAGCTTTGACCTCATTCTGTGTCTCTCTGGGCAGGTCACAGAACTTCTCTGGACCTCAACTTCATTCACCGCCAAGTGGGTATGACAGTCCCAACCAACCTTCATGAGCAACAGTGAGAAGGGCAGCAAAAGGGCTCTGCAGAGCACTGGGGATGAAAGTGACACCATCTCCCTTCTCTGAGCACCTCCCGTGCACCATGCTTTCGTGTGATCACCCCCACCCATGAGATCATTATCTCCTGTTTTACAGGTGAGGAGTCTGGAGCTCTAGTCTCTGGAAAGCTGAGATCCTCTCACCTCCAACAGCCCCCTGCAACACTGCACGCCGTCGTGAGGTGTATGGCTGCTGTGACTGCGGGGCCCCACCTCCAATCTGGCTACCTCTTCTTATGCTTCTCCCAGGATAACACCTTTCTGCACCAAAGGAAGCTCAGAGAAACTCCTATCCCCCAGAAGCCCTTGCTCACCCCAAGCTCCACCTAAGGGCTGGTAGGAGCACTGGCCTAGGGTAGGGGCCCTCAGACTTGAAGGTGCCTCAGCTCACTCTCCAGAGTTTCTGGTTCTGCAGGTCTAGGGTGGGGCTGGAGAAGGTATCTAGCTAATGTGCCTCCAGGTGCTGCTGCTGCTGGTCCAGACACAGGCTTTGAAAACCACTAGCTTAGGGTACTGGGGGATTTAAGCTGGGTGCAGACCAGCAATTCAAGGCATTGCTGGCTTCAGGAGAGTCCCCACCTCCTGCCTCCTCCAGGGCAGCTACGTCCTCAAATGAGACTCCCCTGATGAAGCCAGAGCTGTGGCGTTTGCTGCCGCCTGAGGGCGGGGGAGAATGCCGGTAGGAATTGGACTTGCATGACTTGGCTGTGACCTCACAGGTCAGCTGAGGCCAGGCTGGGCCCAGAAGCTGGATATCCTGATGCTTAGTGAGAATGAACACCATCGGGCCTCAGGCCCAGCAGCAAGAAGATCCAGGGTGCACCTGGCAGGAGCCCAAGCCTTCAGGCTAGAAGACTCCCAACCCAAGACGCCCTTCCTCTTCTTTATTAGTGCACCCCTCTCTGGTTCCAACCTGGGGGCATGGAGAAAAGAGAAAGAGGGAGGCCTGCCACCTCTTGGCTGAGACTTTAGGCAGATGATTATCCCTCTCAGGGGCTTGATTTCCTGTCCTGTAAAAGGAGGTAACACTCCCCTCCTCACCCAGGGTGATGAAAATTTAACAGATATGAATGTGTTTTACATTGCAGAATCAAGACAGCTAAACACTAAAGAACCTGGGCTCTGGAGCCAGACGTGGGGTCCAACCCTGGTTTCACTGCTTACCAGCTGTGTGCCCTTGGTCAGGTTACTCAATGTCTCTGTGCCTAAGTTTCATCATCAAAGGAGAATTCTAGTAATACCTACTTGAAAGGGCTGTAGTGAGGATTAGTGACTTAATGCACTTTGGACAGCATATGAAACAAAGCAGACTACCAACATCCGCAATGCCCCGTTGGGTGCTAATGTGACCTTGCTCCGGCTCAGGCCCAAGAGCGGTGGGAATTACTTCTGCACCAAAGGAATGACCCTCTGATGTGGGTCCAGTGCCTGTGGCAGAATAACGGGACATGCTGGGTGTTTCAAAACCTAGCACATGGACAGTACTTATTTTGTCCGAAGTAGGACTATCTCCAGAAAGAAAAGAACTAGCAGAGGTTCTAAAAGCCAACTGGCTATGAGGCCCACAGGCAAATCTGACCCAGTCTAGTAGGTGAGACAGGTCACAGCACTCAATGAATGACATAGTGAGGATGTGAAGCGGAAGCCGTGTGCCCGAGAGTACACAGCTTCTCTGTGGGGGACCTGGGTCAGTCTACAACCCCACTGCCCTTCCCTGGTACATGGTTTCCTGGGCCAATGTGAGGGCAGGTGTGGAGCAGGCCCTGCACTACCTGCCTCTCTGCTTTGGATGTCTTGAAATCTGTGATTTTTCCCTGAGATTTAATAATCATTTTGCCTACATGTAATTTGGGATTGTCTTGGAGTGCACGGAAATAATTATATACACAGAAGGAAAGAGAGGGGGAGAGAGAGAGTGGAGAGAGGAATAGAACCATAAAATCACAGAATCATACAACCTCCCAACCAGAAGGGATTGCAAGCACGGTTGAGTTCACCTGTCTCAATGTGCTTGCTGATGGGGACAACAAGGGAGACTGGAAGGACCTGAGTTGAGACCAGAGGGTGAGTCTTGATGCCTGGGTATTGCACCTTAAGACCAAGAATGACCCAATATGGGGAGACCAAGAGGGACCCCTAGAGAGCAAGGGCAGGACTGAAGGCTGTGACAGAACCTGCAGGCCTTGTGCCAAAGGTGTCCCTAACCTCTGTCCTGGTCACAGCCTTAGAGCCCCTGGCTGAAAAACTGCACCCATCTAGTCTTCCCACTGATAGCAACTTCCCGCCCAGCTCTGGCTCCATGCTGCACCTAGGGAACTTTCTCATCAGCCAACAGGACCATGTTACCCCTCTGCTTCCAGCCCTTCCATGCTCCCCAAAATCCTAAGCCTCCCAAACATAACTCTCTACCCACCCCCTTTCCTCTCCAGCAAGCAGCACCCTGCCAGGCCTGCCTCCTCACCACCCCTACACATTCCACCAAGCTCACTTCTGCCTCTGGGCCTCACCTGATGCGCCCTCCCTCCTTTCCTACTTACTCTGTCATCACTTCGAGGAGGAAGCCTTCCCCAATCCCCAGCTGAGGTCAGGTTCCTTATGAAAGGCTCTCAAAGCACCCTGCACCTCTCCTTAAAATGTTATACATTATTTGTCGCTGCTACAATTGTGCACGTATATGTTAAAATGTGGCCGATGTCCGTTCCCCCACTAGACAGTAAACCCTACGAGGAGCAGGACTGGGCATCTTTGCTCACTGCTATATCCCCAGGGTAGCACAGGGATCGGCACATTCTGCAAACACAGCTGTTGGATGAGGGATGAGTTTTGAGACAGATGGCTTAATAAAAACTGCTGGGGGCTTCTTTTCTGAGGAAGAGTTCCGTAGTCCTGGACAACCCCATATTGCCAGACCCAACCCTCTCTCCAGCCCTGGCTGAGCCCCCTCTCTCTCCAAGGAAAGTCAGATTCCACTGAGCCATTTCTGTGTTCCTTAAGGCCCTAGAGCCAGGACTGAGGACCTGGAATCCCAGAACCAGCATCCTGTACCCCATGGATTCCCCACTACACCCCCTACCCTGCCCCACCTCCCCTTCCCTGACAAGCTGCCACCTCCTTCCCTCTCTCCCAGCTCCCCAAGGCAGCTGGTTACATAACTGGGGATTCTGCATTATTTATGACCACTGATTATTTTTTAATTCTGTGATTACGTTATTATCTTCCTGGGGGGGCTGTGGAGTTGAGGGGGGAGAGCGAGCTGACCATGATTCATGGCTCTCATCCTGCAATTTGGCTTAATTGGCCAGGGAGCTTCAGTAAATCTGTCCGGAGGAGGAGAAGGCAAAGGGAAAAGGGAGGAAAGGAAGGCGTGAACAAAAATAATAAGAAAAAAATCCGCGCAATTCTTGCTGAGCTGCGGGTGATGGAGCTGACCCACTTTGGCACAGCTCCGTGGTCCCCAGCCTCTCCTGCTCCAGCTGCTTCCTGGCTGGGCCACAGTTATCTCACACTTACACGGCCTGTGGCTTTCCCTGCCACCTTCAGACAAAGCCCCTTGCTGATGGGGCTGCACAACGAAATGGCCAGGAAACAGAATGCCAGGATGCCTGCTTCCTAGGCAAACCAGGTGGGGGATCCTCCAAGGCCACCCCAGGCTGGGAAAAGGTTGTGGCAACCCCTCCATTCTCCTGAGGTGTTTAGGCCAGGGTTGGCAACTGTGCCCTTACTTATATCCCACCCAAGAGTCACTGACGATGTGGAAGACACAGGTGGCATTAATGCAAGGGTCACAATTGAGCCTCCATGTTGAGTGACACCTCAGGGAGGGGAACACCAAGGAGGAGGAGGCCAAGCACCTGCTCAAGGTAAGTTCAATACCCTGCCCTTGGGAGCCTCTGGTGGGTGGTTAACGGCGGAGCAGTGGGGAGGCAGATTCCCACCCAGAAACATGACCAGCAGATTCCTGGAGAGTGTGGGATTCTCACTGAGAACGAATCCAAATTCCATGCCATGCCCTGCATGGCTCAATGGAATCTGACTCCCTGTTCCCTCTTTGACCTTTCCTCTGCTCCTCTCCTTGTTCACTGCCCTCCAGCTGCTCCAGCTTCCTCACAGAACCTGAATATGCCAGGCACACTTCCTCCTCAAGACCTTGGCACCGGCTGTGCCCTCAGCCTGGAATGCTCTTCCCCTAGATAGCCATGCGACTGGTATCCTCACTTCCGTGGGGTCTCCGTTCAAAGACCACCTTATTGGAGACCCCCTTCCTGCCCCCATACCTGCCACTCTCTATTCGATTTCCCCTCTGGCAGGAAGTGAGACTGCCGACTGCAGGAGAATCTAAGGAGCCCCAGCCAGGAGGCCAGGACATGGTCCTGCCCTCCCTGGTCATGGCTAAGAAGCTGACGTGATTCCAGAAAACAAGGCCATATGTGGAGCCGAGGAGCAGGCCAGCGTAGCGTAATTCATTAAAAACATCTCACAGGTACGGAGTGAGCTCCATGCCTATCATTGTGCTAAGTGCTTTGTATATGTCTCACTTAATTCTCACAACAACCCTGGGGTGGGGGTAGGGGAGGAGGCATAAAATGTAGGCTCCCCATGTTTACAGACAGAAAAACAGAAGCACAGAGAGGTAAAGTAACTTTCCCAAGTTCACACATCTCGGGAGAGGGTGGAGCTTGAAACTGAACGACAGGCATCTAGCTGCAGAGCCCCTGAGCTGTTCTGCATCTCTAAATTAAGATCTACAGAACTTTGTGGAGCTTAGAGAGCCTGCTGGGACTGGCCCAGTATCTTGGAGTATTGGGGAGCCTGGGAGAGATAAGGGCTAATTAATGATTGACCGTCATATCCCTCTGCAGCACAATTTTAGCTTTCAAAGCACTTTTACATTCCTCACCTCTCTTAATCCTTTAAAAGACTTTCCCCACCTATGGGATAGAACTTGCTCATCACCCAGGGAGCCAGTGGCAGAGCTATTGCAGGGGTTTGAGAGGGCGAGGGAGGTGTAGGAGAGGGAACTCCAACTCCTCTAGAAGAGTGAGTAGGTATTGACCACCCCCACTGCATGCCAAGCCCCAAATAAATCTTTGTAAGATCAGCGTGCAGTGCAAATCACCACATCCCAATTTCAGAGATGAGCAAACTGAGGCTGAGGGACTTGGGACGGAAGTGGTTTGGTGTCACTCATCTTTCAGTGAATTTCAGGCTGTAAGCTCCAGATGATGAGGAGGGTCTGCCATGATCAGTGGCATGGAGCGGGGGCTGGGGAGGGGGAGCAGCAGAAAGAGGAGGAAGATGGCCGAGGGGAAAAAAGCTAAGCCCTTCTACTCCGCTGGTCTTGTTCCTTCACCAAGCATCTGTGCAGCCCCCATCCCCAACAGTCTTGTATGTGACTCTAATCTCCACTTCTAAGTGCTTTGCCTGAAACAAGAACCCAGTTGGTGGGCTCTAAGCCGGTGCTGCCCAGGCCATGGGGTGATTTGAGGGAACAAGTGAGCGCCTCTCAACCTTGAGCCTACCCATGCCCCTGATGAAAAGAGGCTACACAAAGGAACTGAGGAGAGCCAGGTAGATTCAGCTTTACAGCTCCCTTGAAGAACCAAGAGCCAAGACCACAGGTTCCAGAGAGCAGGGAGGTTCCAACCCTTTTCTCTAGGCCAGAGTGTGGCACCCCCACTTGGTAACCTGATCCCCCACAAATCCCATCTCACAGGGAGACAGTGATGGCATCTCTTCTTCTGCCTGGGCCTCCCAGAGCTTTACCTACCTTCCTCCACACTCCCCTCTGTCCCTCACCCTGTGTCTAGACCCTGCCTGGGGGATGAGAGAATTCTGAGGCTTACCCACCCCCCCTCAGCTGGGTGCCATTGGCAGCGGGCAGGCAGTGGCATACGGGGTAGGCTCTGGTTGCCATAGCAACCTGCCAAAGTCTTGGGTGGAGGCACATGGCCTACAGGGTGTGTGGGGGGAGGGGACTCATTTTTCTCTGTCCTGGCTTAGGCCTCTGGGCTGCATAGCCTGTGAACCTGGAGCTCTACTATTGGAAACATGGGGGCGGGTGAGTGTGAAAGGGAAGGAGAGGGCATCTAAAAGATCTGAAAATAAATCCGAGAGCTATTGCATCACAGATGAGCATCAGGGATCACCTCTGGAAGGCCCTTGTCAAAATGCAAAGAGATCCCCCAATAGCTCACCTGCTGAAACCCCAGAACAGGCATCAGGAACCCGAGTTCTAGGCTTACTTCTGCCACTGGTCAGCTGTATGACCTTAGACAAGCCCCTGTGGCTCTCTGGGCCTCAGTTTTTTCAATAGTAAATGGACACGGCTGGTCTGGGTTACCTCTACGGCCCCTTCAAGCTCTGGGTGGGTATGCTGAGGGGAGAGGGAAGGCAGGTGCCAGTTGGGAAAAGGCTGGGAGTTGTATCAAAGTTGACTCCCAGGCTTAGTCAATTCTGGCTCTTTGTAGCTACTTGCCAGGGCATAGGTCCCATGTCCCTGGCCAAGACAGACTTTGAACAGTTCCCATGGCTCTGATCTAAAATAAGATGGGGGCGGGAGGAGACTGTAGTGCCTTGGACCCAAGAGGTCAGAGGAGGAGGGGTTGCTAAGAGGCATCTGGCCTTTGACCTCCAAATTGTACTGTCCAAAGATGTAGAACCCAGACTATGGCCAGCCCAATGCCACCAACTTAGTCTGCCCAAAGCAACAGCCATTCACACCTTCTGAGATGGGATTTCTTGGCAGGCTCCCTGAGGCTGACCCTGGACAGCTCCTGTCCTGATATCTCTATACCTATCACCTACCCCATTCTGAACACAGTGCCTCAAGCAACCCCCTGCTCCTTGGCTCTCAGGCCAGGCTGGAATGGCACTCTGCCTACCATCACCCCACCTCTTCAGCCTTCCTAGATCCCCTATCCTTCCTGCACAGCTGGCCAGGGAGAGCCTGAGCCCATAACTCCAGCTCAGTCACTCTCCCTGCATCTCTGCAGGGACCCTGGTTACAAGGAGTTGAAATTTGCCTAAAGCCCACCTGGCTGGTATAATGGCACCCAGCGGGCAAATTCAGGCTAGCGGCTCAGAACGCTGGTCATGCATTTTGGACTCAAACGCAGCCCAGGGGGCAGGGCCGAGGACATGTGTACCTCATTACCCCAACGATGTGAGAAGCAGTAATTAAACTGAGCTCCACTTAGAAAGACAGAGAGGGGCACACACATCCCAACATTCTCAGTGGCTTTTCAGCCTTGGCAAAAATTCTTCAGAACAGTGGGATGAAGATGCTCATCCCCTTAGAGAAGATTCCTGCCTCTGCCAAAATATGCAAGGAACTCTGTTACCGACTACAGCACTCCCAGCACCATTCTTATCGCGGGACAAAGAGGACACAGCTGGCTTAAATTTTTCTAAGATCAAGGGTTCTCAGTATCTGTGTGATTTCTGCAGATAATGCTTTGAGCTGGGCCCCGAGCAGTGGGAACCACTTCAGCAGAACCATCTGCACTCTCCCAGGGCCCCTTGTGACCAGGTCAGAGTCTTGGAGACAGATGTGGGGTCAAGGGTCAGTTTAGGTCCCAGAAGGGTGTCTTCCATGCTAAGAAGCTGTAGTGGGATTCAGTCCTTACTAGCCATCTTGGCAGCCCTGCATGCTCACCCAGACCCACTGACACGCTGCTCAAGCAACCTCTGCAACACCAAGGCTCCTCCAGGCTTGTGGTCTGATGAGATTTTTAGCAAAGCGGATTTGGGGAAAGGAGAGCAAGGAGAAAGGAGGTCCCCAGTAGAGCAACACACGTGCATGCAGCTTTGCACACTCCAACACAGGTGTGAGTATGTTTTTGCGCCAAGCCCAGGAAGGCTGGCCTGGGGTCTGTCTGGTGCCGGCTCACCCCTCACTTACCTCCCTCAGCTCCTTGGCCACTTCCTTGAGCTCACGAAGGATGCCCTCAAGCTGCCCGATGACCATCTTCATGCGCTGTCGAATCCGCTCCCGCTCACCACCACTGCTGGGGTCGTCACTGGGCTGCCCGAGGTCCGGGGCCCCCCGAATGTTCATCGTTTACCACGTGGCCGCAGGCCTGCCCATACTCCCCCCAGCTGGGCACACGCTGTGTCTGCCTCCACGGAGCCCCCGTCGTCGGCTGGGCAGAGCTCCACATCTTAACGGCCCCCCAGCCCACCCTGGCCCTGGGCGGCCCTCAACCAGCCCCTGCCCCCTGCCACCCCGACTCCTCTGCCTCTGGGTGGGGAGTGGGACACCCAGAGTGAGACAGAGTCTGGCAGAGGGGGTCAAGGTGAGGACACAGGAGGGCAGGGGGAGGGACCTTGGGTCCCAGGAGTGGCCTCCAGGACTTGAAGTGCCTGTGGGTGTGCAGAGCTGATCTCTGCCTGAGCTTGAACAAAGAGGCAGGGGGATGACTCTGCAGGGACTAAGGGTAGGAGATGCCCTTGGGATGGGGGAAGGCAGCAGGGATCCCCTCACAACTCCTAGGCAGTTGCAAAGGCAGAGGTCTCTGGATGCAACTGACACCTGCAGAGGGATGTGGCCAGGGTCTTCCAGATGTGGAGGGGGCTCCAGTTATGGGCAGCTCTGGGGAGGAAGCTGGATTGGAAGAGGGCAACCCCCTGCGGAGAGAGCGAGCCTGGCGTCAGCCCTCCCAGGCTGCAGCACCAGCCGGCAATGCCGCTACCTCCCTCCTCTTGCCAGCCTGCACCCTTCCTAGCAGGAGATTTTTTTTTTCTTTGTGGGGAGGGGTGGTGGAGGCAGATGGTTTACAGCATAGCCCCTCCTCTAGAGGGAAAGGGAGGGAGCCCCCGGCTTTAGAAGCAGAAGTCCTCAGCCTGCTATGGGGCATCCTGGTCGTAGCTCCCGCCCCCCCCAACCCCCCTGCCAGGCCTGGCAAGGCTGGTTCACCAGAGGGCCTCTTCAGTCACCCATCCTCCCTCCTAGCGCCCCCAGGGTGCCCTCGTTCCCAGCAGACCCTCCCTCCCCCAGCCCCGCCTTCCCTCAGAACCCCCGCTTCTGGACTCACCGAGGGTGGGGGCACCGGCCTTCCCTCCAAGCAGCGTCGGGGGCCAAGCCCCAAGACGGGGTTGGGGGGCCCCCAAGGCTCCCTAGGGCGGGCTTCTCTCTCTGGACCCTTCGGCCCCTGGCCTCAGGGAGGTCCTCCGAGCCGTGGCCAGAGACATCTGGGCGGTGGGAGGGGGCGGGGCCTCCGCGCTCCAGGGAAGGGGGCAGGAAAAAACCTTTCTCAAGCCTCTCCAGGCTCGGGGTCGGGAATGAGCGAGGGTCCGGCGGATTCCGGGCTCCTAGGCCACAGGTGACCGGGGCGCGCGGAGGCCGAGGAGACGCCGGGCCGGTCCCAGCGCGTGAGCCAAAGTCGGAGGGCTGGGAGGGCGCCGGGATCCCCTCAGCCCACGCCCGGCATTCCCCGGGCTCGGCTCCGTCTGGGATCCGCTCTGTCCAGTCCAGATCCGCCGGGCCCTGGTTCCGCTGGGGTCTGCCCTGCCCTACC